CAAGGCCGCTGCAGAAGCCTACAACAAAGACTTTGCCGAATTCATGAAGGCAGAAGGATACGTCGCTCAACAAGTGTTCAACTGCGATGAAACAGGGCTCTTTTGGAAGAAGCTGCTGAACAGAGCCTATATCACGCAGGAGGAAAAGGCACTGCCGGGGCACAAGCCCATTAAGGACAGAATTACCCTTTTGTTGTGTGCGAACGCAAGCGTCGATCTGCAGATTAAGCCACTACTGGTGTACCATTCCCAGACCCCTTGTGCATTCAAGGAACAGAATGTGAACAAGGCCAGACTTCCTGTCATGTGAAGGGCCAATGCGAAAGCTTGGGTCACAAGGCAATTGTTAATGGAATGGCTGCATGAGGTGTTCGCACCCACCGTTAAAAAATATCTTTCTGACAACCAACTGCCTGAAAGGTGCCGTCTTCTGATGGACAATGCCCCGACACACCCTCCAATCTTGATGGATGATATGGACGCAGAGTATGACTTCATAAAAGGTCCATGGGCAAGACTATGGGTCTGGATGTCAATGGTGCAGACATTGAGGAGCTTGTTGAGGACCAGAAGGAGGAGCTCATGATGCAAGAACTTGCTGAACTCCAGAGGGAGCAGCAGAAGGCGCTTGTTGAGGAGCATTCCACTGAGGAAGAGGAAGACAGGGAGGTGGTTAGCAGTGATGTGATCAAATCCATTATAGAAAAACGGAATGAGTGCCAGGATTTCTTTGAGAAGGCCCACCCCAACATAACTAACAAACAGAGTCTTGAATCTGATGAACGACAATGTAGTCTATAATTTCCGGAGGGTTATGCAGCGCAGGAAAAAACAAGTGACAGACAGATCTTTCACAAAAATTTACCCTGCAGCTAAGAGACAAAGAAGAGAGGAAACACCTGAAGATCTCCCCGATGTCCTTATAGAGGGGGACTCTCTCTCCAAACAATAACGTCCTCCCCACCCACCCACCTTCCTGTCCTCCACCCCAGAAGTCGCCCCAAGAAAGGTTAGTGTTCACTCTTTATACTGTACTTGGTTTCATATTTTTGTGGTTATAAATATTTGAATTTTTTTTTCTTACATATGGTTCAGAACAGATTAACCTCATTTACATTGAACCCTATGGGAAAATTTGATTCTGTTCACGACCAAAATCGGTTCGCAACCACATTCGTAGGGGTCAGAATAGATTAACCTTATTTACATTGAACCTTATGGGGAAATTTGATTCGGTTCGCGAACAATTTGGTTTGTGACCAGAATCGTGGAACCAATTAAGTTTGTGAACCTAGGTACCACTGTATATACATACATACATACATATATATAAATATACGTACACACAGTGTGTGTGTGTGTGTGTGTAGTTATATTTTAAC